ATTCGAAATTGACCTGTATTTTCTGGTAAAATACCTACACTAATAAACTACCTGAGACCGGTCCTTCGGATGAGACCGTATAAAGCGAAGTCCCGTGTCGCAGTAATTGCTGGGACGAAAAATATCCCTCAATGCTCAATGGCCCCGAGTGCCGAGTATGGGTCAAAATTCGCAGTTCTCCACCGGCAAATGGTGGCGTCTCTATATGAGTGAAAAATTGACGAGAAGGACGTTAAACAACAATAAACATTCAAGCAAACATCTGAGTTTTGCCAAAAATCATCGGACCATGACCAAAATCGAACTTGACCTGCGCATTCCTTTGACGTATCCATATGTCAAACCTGAGTTGAATGTGTGCAACTGTTGACTAGATAATAAATGGAAAGTCAATGATACGGAATGAAAGAATGACGGAATGACCGAACAGGGTAACACTATATGCCTCGGCCATTGTATGGCGGGGGCATAAAAATACTGTAAATGTACATTTTTCCTCCACGGAGTCATAATTCCGCGGAATCATTATTTTCTCTTTAGTCCGCGGGCATGAAACTACGCAGATTTCTTTGATTGCCTTTGTATACCAGTATGTTAAATATTTCACACCTTAATTATCAACCTGGATTAAATCTAATGTCAAGTTATTTTCATAATGACGTCATAAATAGAAATTTCGTATTTTTATGACATGTTCTTTGAAACATGCTACTGTAGGCGTACTTTTTTCGGTGTGAGATAAATTTAAGCTATGTATGCTGTCACAACGTAGCGAAATTTTCCGTGGAAATTTGTCACCCGTACTAAAGTGTATTTTTTACATTTAGTTTAAAAATTATCAATTGATTTTTTTGTGTTAAATTGGACTTTTCTATTTTTCCAATTAGATATACATCCTGTAGAAGCCGGCAGACATATACAGAACAAGAGTTAATTGCTCGAATTCACAGAAATGTCAAGAAGGACTGCGTCGTGTGGCTTATATATGTTTATACAAAGTATGTAAAGGGATATCTTTGTAGAATATTGTTAATTGTTTTCATTTTTATACACTTACCAATTCATGGTCTATTTTTAAAATAATACCGTACACAATCGGCTGTGCAGTCATTATAAAAATATCTCTTGCCTACGAACTTTGTGGACACTAGTTATAAATGTCGTTCACTGCAATTAGTTTACAGTACTCATTCTAAGGTTTAAGAATGGCTTCATGCGTATAATAAAAATACACGTTTATTAAACTGTATATGGCCATTTTCTTTACCTTCAAATGACATTAAAAACATTTCACATGATAAAAAGTTGGTATATGACAGAAAAATCTGTTAAATAGTACATACAGCACAACTTGAGCTAGAAACTCTTGAGATTGCTCTTTTTATATTCTGACACGCAAAGGAAACACAACATCCTATTTTAAGAGAAAAATAGCATATAGTGTATTACTTTGTATTTAAAAAGTAATTGCATGTTCAGCTTTGCGAAATCGCTAATTTAACGGTTGAATGATTTTCATAGCATTACCTGAAGTTATGTTTGAGTCCGCCTAACAGAAATCAAAAATAATACTGCGTGTTTAACAAGACTTTCAGCAATATTCCGGGAAAAATTCTCCTTCCTTTCCAAAAGTGATGCCTAGGCTTCCTCAAAATGACTGAAAGCAGGCATTTCCAGTGCTCTAGATGGAAATTCTCAAAAAAAAAAAAATATATATATATCAAGCATTAGATTAAAGGTCATTTGCAAGAAAAAATTATGTTTTCCGATATGTTTATATTGCACTACTTTATTAGCCGACCTGTTTTTTGAATTATTTTCCTATGAAGCAGAATTTATTCAAAAACTCAAAAATGAAAAATAGAAAACATTCAGATATATCGACAACGGTTTATCAATTAACAATAGTTATTTCCTTTCATGTTTTGACTCAATATATCCCAGTGAACTTGAGATAAAATGCACTACAGAGTCTACCACATCTGATTCACTTTTGTATGTTTTACTGACTTTGAACGATAAACAGTATGACAGATTTTCTATCGTCATATTTCTTTAATATATATAGAATATTCCAATAAGCCTGCATATTGTGTTTATGTCTCCCAAATTATTTGCTATTTAAAAGAAAGATCAATTTTTAAACCGAGACAGATTATTCACAGATAAGTTGATGTTGCGTCATGGGTTTCAACAACCTCGGTTAAAGTCTTTATAATTACCTTCAGTTGTTATTAAATATAACATGTCATTGGGTCCTATATTGCATTGCTTGTTTCATACCAGTTGTTAGGCCTTTGTTTTTTAGTAACCAAAAATAAAATAGAATTAAAATAAAAAAGATAAATAAATAAAAAAATAATAAAAAAAAATCCTGTTGTGCAACTATATACCGACTATACTTTTTTTTAATTTTGCAATATTATCTTTCATACATTTTATTAGTCAATTGTATTGACTAATATATAATATCTGACTTTGGAGAACGTTAGTGCATTAATATAGCTGATTAACACAACTGCACGATTTAGGCATTGAATCTATATTTGTTACCTTATTGCTCTCAAGTTTCCTTCGAAAGGACGGAATTCATAACAACGTTTCAGTTTTAAACACAAGTACTTTTACAGAATTCGAGATACTTAGTATGCAGATAATCTATTCCAAAACTTCCTTTAAGAATTTACAAACAAAGATACATTGACGAAATCAGTAAACGCTCCATACTAAGTCCTCATCCGTGCTCCTCGCAAAAAAATAAAATGTGCAATGAGGGAGAAACTTCAAAGACACATTGAAGATTTTAGTAAATTCTCTATACCAAGTCCTCATCCGTGTTCCTCGCAAAAATATAAACTGCAGTGAGGGAGAAACTTTAAAGTGCTATAGTTCTGTTTACAACAAATTTTCGAGAATTTGTATAAATCAAATGTGGATTCTGAACTCCAAAGAGCTTTCAGAAAATTTGAAATTCCAATTCTTCCCACACAAATTTACGTAACCAAATGTGCCAATCAATTCTCGAAATACAAGTAGCATATATCAATTTTTTTTTAAAAATGCCCACAATGAAAATATAAGGCTACAACAGTACTAATTTGAGAGTAATTGTCTTCATCGGCAGATTATGTTCCCAATATATTCTTATGTAATTCTTAAAAATGACATATTGGAGCTCAATCCTACCCAATGAAGTTATAATTTAAACAAAACTGAATCTACCATTCCTGGAGAGAGAGAGAGAGAGAGAGAGAGAGAGAGAGAGAGAGAGAGAGAGAATCATTTGAAATATCAAACTTTCTATAGCATTGGTTTTCTCACTATTTATTTAACTTGGAAATGTCAGACTGTTTACAAAATTAAATTCTAACTGTTCATAAATATACATGTACACTCTACATTAATAGAATGACGAAGCAAATGAATCAAAGATTAGATAATTAACCAGATTTTATCTGACCTGTAATTAATGTAGGTTCATTTTATGTCAATTTGTCAACCAATTTCTTGACTATTAGAAATAGTAATTGTTTAAAATTTATGGGTGAAATTTATTTGGTTTCAGAGTCAAACATAGTTCATTGTCATTGAAAATTTGCTTTCCAAGAAAAAAAGTTTTAGTGAATTTTTTTTTCATATAAACATATTTATGTTATACACATTTGTCTTAAAAAGACGATGTTTTTTAGAATTAATTACTGAAACTTGCTGGACAATTTCACGTGAAACAGTTGTAAACATGAATGAATTTTTGTTTATCATTTTTCATCAAAGATGACGTTTCCGGTAACTTTTTACATGCATGGATAGGGTTACGATGTTCCATGGATGCTCCCCCATGAAATTCGTGCACATTTCAGAATCAGCAAATTTTGACTTAGATGCCCACAAAGCATCATGAAGAAAAAAAAAATTCAGTTTTTTGCTCCTTTGTTATTCCTACAAGTCTGAAGCCAAATCAACTGAGCTAGTTTTCTGATGGATTAAGAGAAAATAACAGCAATATTGAAAGTGAAACAAATGTCATTCATTCAAGTAAACGACGCAAAACAAAAATACATATAGTTAAGGGGTAAGAAGAGACTACAAAAAAAAAAAGAAAACAAAAATCTTTGGCATCATATTATGCAAGAACTGACCCACTAAAGTTAAACATTCCATAAATCAGGCACTGATATGCCTACCATCAAAAAAGGGTGGGATAAAACAAAATGAACGCAAAATATGAACACTTATACATGTGTAACAATAATAAGATAACGGTGGAAGAAAGGGGATGGATGGAGGGATTTTTCAACAAAATTTTCCCTCGCAATTTGGCCTGGTTTTCTCCTTTCGTAAATAAACAACAATGGTCACGTCATTGGGAAAATCCACGCCGATTGGCTGTAAATTTAGACAATCATGTCATAGATTAAAATTAGACAATCATGAAGAAAGAAAAAATATTCAGTTGCCTTCGTTTCTCATTATATATAAAATGGAATAACTCTGATCGCGAGATCCTTTCATGTATTGAAATAGTAGATAGTGTAAATCCGCATAGTATAAATGCATATTAAACAATATATAATATGCCATGCCACTGCAAAAATCTTACAAAATCTTTATAAAAGTAACATAAAACATTAAACAAACCCCATCTTTTTAGGGAGTTTTGATTGATTATATGTTTTAAAAACATTTTCTCCTTGTTTGAGTTGTGGCAGCACTTCTTTGTCTAGCACATTAACATATCTCAACACTTTTTCTAAGAGTTTACAGAACATTCTCTTTTTGCCAATCTATGTAAGTATATTTCATTTTCGAATTAATGCAGGGTATAGTAGTCTAAATTATAAATGCACCAAATGCCTTCAAAATGTCTAATTATGAAGAGCAATCAGTGATTTGCCACTTTTTCTCACGGCATTCCATATTTAATGATCCCAGATAGTATTTAGTTATAAATAAACGGTTGTTGAGTTACAAAGCACTGCCAAGATTTAGCAGGCAGAGAAAAGATTGATTTAAAATGGACTCTTTTCAGTTGTTCATTGTAGTCTTCATTGCAACACTTTATTTTGACGTGTATGAAGGTGGGTCTCTCTTTTTCTCTCTATCTTCAGAAAAATGCACGATTGAGTGACGTTAGATATAAAGGGAAATGCTCAGAAGTAGTATATAAATAAATAAACAAACCCGTTTTATACTTAATCAACATTTACCTTTTTATCTCTAGCCGGGCATAATATATGTCTTACTGAGGTGTGTTTGGAGAGTAAAATTAATATTAAAAAAGAATTGAGTGAAAGAATCACTTCCATACCAACACCAGAGGGAAATCGACTTCGCTTTAAACCTGGGCTCTTTAGTTTTGGATGCAGGTGGGTTGAATGCACTCACTCGAACATTTTATTATTAAAATTGTATAGAGTAAATTACTGTTAGAAGACGTATTTATTACTTTTTTATTTAACCATCCTTACTTTTGCACTCTACCAAATGCAATACTTTTGCATATTGAAATTCAATACTAAACATTGAAAAGATCGATGAACAATGTACATGTAATTTGAATTTTCAGTAAGTGTTATTTGAAGTAACAGTAAAAAAGAAAAAGCTTATGCTTCAGATATTTTTTTTAAATATGTATTTTTATAGTTTTACGCAGATTAAGGATGACTTGTACTGAAAGCTTTGATAAATGTTTTAACTAAGATACATCAATAAAGATAAAAAAGTATTTGAAAAATATGTTATAATACGCCATTGAAATACGTTGAATGAAAAATGAAACAAACTTGATGCGGCTAAGATTATCTATTTACTTTAACAGACATACATTAACTTGATTTCTCGTGATTTTTGAAAGGAAAAGTTTGTTCTGTCCTAAGAAGAAATTACTTTCTGCTAAGGGAAAAGGCTTTAAAATTTGAATCTCTATGCTTCCTCCACAAAATTGTCATAATCAACAACGCCGTGCCCAAGAATCACCTCGTGTTATTTACATTTTGGTTTGAATTTCATTTTAATTCAATCTTTAAGAGGATTTTCAGCATTATGAAAATTCCATTCAATTTAGCAGATGACTATTTGCCATCTCCATCGTTGTAATCTTGTGTCCTTAAATTTAAACAGTTAAAACAATAGTCTACTTGGAAATTGAAAGAACCTATATCATTATGAATTTGAATTTAACTGGAACTTACAGTCTACCAAAATTAAGTTTTAACAGTTCCTCTCACATCAATAGGAAGTACTAACTTGATTGAATACACCTTAAGGTTTTATTTTACAGCTATTTTGACACGTACAAGGCTTGCTTACCTACGGGGTTAGATCCATGTGTTCCCGAGAGGTATCGTAATACAGTGAAAGAATTTGTTGAAGCGTTTGACAGGATTGCGTGTACCAAAGATGAAAGTAAGTCTAGCGATTCTTAGATCATTTAAAAGATAAATTGTTGGGGTAAAAAAACCTAAACTGAACTAAGGGAAGGGAATATATTTTCAATTCAGTCAATATTTTTTATGCCCCCGGATCGAAAGATCCCGGGGGTATATTGTTTTTGTCCTGTCTGTCTGTTTGTCCGTTTGTCTGTCTGTCTGTTGTCAACTTTAACTTGCCCATAACTTTTGATTGGTTGGAGCTATGACTTTCATATTTCACATGTGTATTCCTTGTGACAAGACCTTTCTTTGGGTACCATCATATTTGACCTTTTGACCTTGACCTTGGAGTTTGAACCACTTTTGCAAATTTTATGAGACTATAACCTTGGCCATAACTTCTGAACAGTTGGTTCCTGGGGTTTCAAACTTCACATGTGTATTCCTTGTGACAAAACCTTCCTTTGGATACCAACAACTTTGACCTTTTGACCTTGACCTTGGAGTTTCACCTACTTTTGAAAAACTTTAACCTTGGCCATAACTTTTGATCAGATGGTGCTTGGGGTTTCAAACTTCACATGTGTATTCCTTGTGACAATACCTTCCTCTGAATATCAACCTCCTTGACCATTTGAACTTGACCTATGAGTTTGACCTACTTTTGAAAACTTTAACCTTGGCCATATCTTTTGAATGGTTAGAGCTAGGGCTTTCATTCTTCACATATGTAATCCTTGTGACACGACCTTCCTTTGGATACCAACCACTTTGAACCTTTGGCCTTGACCTAGGAGTTTGACCTACTTTTGAAAACTTAAACTTTGGCCATAACTTTTGAATGACTGATGCTAGGGCTTTCATACTTCACATATGTAATCCTTGTGACAGGACCTTCCTTTGGATACCACCCACTTTGACCTTGACATAGGAGTTTGACCTACTTTCGAAAAACTTTAACCTTGGTCATAACTTTTGACTGGTTGGTGCTAGGGCTTTCATACTTCACATATGTAATCCATGTGACAAGACCTTCCTTTGGATATCAACAATTTTGACCTTGACCTTGACGTTTTTCTTACTTTTAAAAAACTTTAACCTTCGTCATAACTTTTGAACAGTTGCAGCTAGGGCTTTCAAATTTCACAGGTATAGTCTTCGAGGCAAGACCTTTCTTCTGGGTACCAACATTTTTTATCTTTTGGCCTGGATTTTGACTTGCATTTGAGAAACTTCAACCTTTGCCATAAGCTGCCATATGGAGGCATCAGTGTTTCACAAACACATCTTGTTCTTCAATATTTTTATGTTTTATTCTTTATTGATATCCAAATTCAAATTAATATACATTTTCCTTGAAAGAGACTCTTTTACGATTGTTCAAATTCACGTAGGACTAATTTGTATTAAAGTATTTCTGCAAACCATGTTTTTAAATAAATTGATAAAAAGTACAGAATGATCATACTTTTTGTATAGAATTGCACTTACTACACAGTAAAGTTATACAAAGTCATGTAACTATACAGTAAACTCGATACCATGAAGTCACTTGAATCTCGCATTTTCCTTCCTTATAACCTATGTATTTTTTATTTATAACGCATTGTTCTTTTTTTCGGATTCATAAAAAAAATTTATATGTGAAATTTCATTGTAAGGGATTACTTTATAACCGAGCTTCACTGTTAACATGCAAATTCTATTCAAAAAATATAAACAACCAAGCAATTTTTCATTTACAAACATACCTGAAAAGACTGGAAATATACATATTATATATAGATGAACTGATCTGAATATAATATGAATATAATTAGTAAGTTTTGTAATTAAATGATAACTACATATAGAAATTCACATTTATAGAATGTGTTGATGTTGAATCTTGAACAATACATATATATTTGGTTTTTTTTTTTTTTTAAATCTACATAATTAACATTTTCTTTAAAACTAATTACACCGCTGTGCTAAACTATACACTGTATCATTGTAATCAATATCATTTGCAGGGCTAGACAAATTGATTGACTGTATGAATAATGACAAAGTCCAGAAAATGTTTTTTAAGGACCTGGTGGTTCAAGGCTTTTCCCTAATGGCAAAAATGAGAAGAAACGATTCCGACGTATGCAGGTTAAGAAATCCCTAATTTGTTTTCATACCTTTTACATTTTTAGTAAGAAAAAAACCCAACACAGCTGTATTTGAAAGATTTTATGAAATTTAACTGTAGTTACAAAACAAATGTATCATTTCAGCGAAATGAAGTCAGATATCAGTACCACCGTCACAAAACTCTCGGCGTATTGTGACCATGATGGTCTGCGAGCACTTTTGCAGTTCATGAACGAGCTGGGGGAAGAGCTACAAGATATTTTACAAAAGGCTGTAGATACTTTGGAATACAAAGAAATTTGCTATGACGAGTTTATGGAAGTGACTTCATCAGCCCAGAGTTCCATTACAAGGCAAGCTTCGGCCCTGAACACCTCTCGGCTCGTCAGATCACTGCTTGGCTTGTAATTCCTGCTCTTTGCATTTTCATTAAAGAAATGAAGCATGAGAAAAATCTATCATTATTGCAAATGTTAAGTTTGTGTTGTCAGTTGGTATTTTAGAATGAAATAGCAAAAAGGACAGGTTCATAATATTTGCCCCTAATAACAATTGTCGGTAAGAACTTAAATCTTAAACATATAAAAGAATGTTCATGCACATAATCTTTATTTATTTAACACGGGAAACTTTGCTCGAAATTAGCATGGCAACAGCTAGCTACGTAGAAAAATTACAAAATTATTGATAACGGATCCAAACGCTTGTCGTTAACAAGGAGGGTATAATTTTTTTTTAAAAAGTTATAAAAATTAAATTTTCTTCGTTGTGATATTGTATATACATGTATATGTCTTTAAAATGATATATTGTAAGTTATCAATTGTGTTAATTTACAAAAATATGCACTTTTCAAAGCGATTGAAATATAAAGGAGACATGAACTTCATTGTCAGGTAACATCCATAAATTTTAAGAGAAGATGAATTACAAATAGTCAAAATGAGAATAACACTGACATTAAAAAAAAACAAAAAAAAAAAAAAAAAAAAAAAAAAAACCCTTAGTCTAAGGTCTCATTTTATTATTTTATTTTTTTCTAGTCTGGTATTCAATTTGTACCAAATTCAATGAAATTTTGTTACTTGTAAATGCCATAGGGAAAACACGAGCTTCCTAATAGAGTTATACCCCTTGACACAGTATAAATCAAAGACAGCAAATATATTATTTGACAATTTAAGTGAATTTTTATCTTTTTTAATCTTAACCACAGTCATATTTTTTTTTTAAATATACATGATCAAAATATTTCTTTTTAAATCAGACAGGTAGGAATAATGAAATATATGGAGATAACGAACAGTATTCAAGCTCAAAAGTCCATTATACAATACAAAATAGGAGCAGAGCAAACACGGACCTCTAAACATCAGAGGTGGGATCAGGTGCCATGGAGGAGTGAGCATCCCCTGCCGACCGGTCACACCCGCCGTGTGCTCCTTGTCATGATCGGAAAATAACGGAAAAATCCGTCGACAATTCAGTGTGTAAATAAAGACCTAACAATTAGTATGAAAAACGTCAGTCAGCATTTGACTCAATGATAAATTGTATTTGCTGACAAGGTCATTGTATCGACCATAGAACTTACGAAATGATGACTTTAAACGAGACAGCTGATATTCTTGTTTCATCAACTTGTTTGTCAGTAATTTACCTCGTTTTAGAAATTGTTCATACGTAGAGCATGCTCTTGCGTATCGAATCAACTGAGAGATATATACCCCGTATGCTGGTGATGAAGGTATATTGCTGCATAAGTAAGGGAAGTTGACGATTGAAAAGTTAAAGTCATCACGTTTATCATAAAGCTTGGTTGTTAGATTAACATTAACGTCTTTTTCAAGTAAAATATCCAAATATGAAACAGATGTGTCACACTCTGTGGTATCTTTTATCTCAAGCTCACCAGGATATATCGTATCCACATAAGAATGAAAATAGCCATTGTTATTTGACAATACATCGTCGATATATCTAAATGTCGAGTTCAAGGCCACAGCAAGTGTTTTCTTCTTTTCACGTACAAGATTTTGGACAAATTCTGCTTCATATGAATACAAAAAAAGGTCTGCTAATAACGGGGCGCAATTGGTACCCCTGGGAATTCCAATAGATTGTTGGAAGACCTGGTCTCCAAAAACCACATAGATATTGTCAATCAGAAACTCAAGCATCTTTTTAATGTCAACTTCAGAGTACCTATGTGTACAATCAGAATGTTTTTTAACAAAATAATTTTGCAAATGACCAATGACAAGGTAAGTTAATTTACGAGTTCCATTGTTATTGAAAAAGCAGCTGTCAATTATATCAAAAAGCCTGGACTTTAATTTATCGTGGGGAATGGTTGTGTATAAAGTAGAAAAGTCATAAGTTTTTAAGCTGTTGATTTTGGTAAAATCTTGCGATTTCAAATTTTCCAAAAGTTCCTTGGAATTTTTAAGAATCCACATCTGATTTACACCACTTCTCGAATATATTGTTGCACAGTACTCTTGAAGTTTCTCCTTCACCATTGTTAATATCTTAGTGAGAAGTAAAGAAAGAGGCTTGGTTGAACATTTACTGGAACCCGCTATGTATCTTTGTTTGTAAGGATTTTTATGAAGTTTCGGAATCCAATATAAATATGGTAATTCAAATTCATTTTGGTTGTTTGGAATATTCAAAATATTCAAAACTGACCATGATTTTGAAGAATTTCTTCCTTAGAAAGGGAACTACGAGTATAAGTTGGATTACCACTTGTAGAATTAAATCCAAGTTCCTCTAAAATACATTTAATATAATGAGTCTTACAAACAAAGACAATGTTGTTATCTGCTTTGTCAGCAGGGACCAGTACGTACTGATCATGTAATCTATCTAATTCTTTTTTCACTTCTGGATTGTTGAATACAGAAGGATAGATGGTTCTCATATTGCCCCTCAATCTTTTAATGCGTGATTTTAACATACATCTGATACATTTAATCCATTCTGACAAAGTGTCAAGGTCTTCTTTTTCATGTCTGGCCCATCGCCTGAAAGGATGTATAGAATTTAAATAATTAAAAATATAATTATTTAATCTTTCTAAGGTTATAGTAATGACGTTCTTCTGTTATCACTGTATTGAATGAATAGACTGACGAACATCATATTGATGCCTACTATTAAAAGTTGTTCAGCCACTTTCAATTTGATTTAATTGCATTGAAAATTCCACATACCAATTTAGATTTCTGGTAGAATTCTATGAGTTCAAAAGTAAGAAAATTTAAGTTGGCATGAAAAAAGCAAAAATCAGTTCAGTATTGAGGAATTTACATGGGGTGGGGGGTGGGGGGGGGACTTGAATTTTGAACTACCTGATGATGCTTCCATATTAATATAACAAATGGCTTTGTTGTTCTTGAGCAGATGATTTTTTCCTATTTATTCATTTGTAAAAATTTGATACCCCTTTGTGGCCCATCCCTACCCCTTGGGGGCCTCATTTGAACAAATTTGATTCTACTCTACCTGTGGATGCCTCCATATTAATATGACTAATCATGGCTTTTCTGTTCTTGAGAAAAAGATTTTTTGTCCTTATATCCTAAGTAAAACTTTGATCTCCTATTGTAGCCCCACCCTACCACCTAGGGGTTATAATTTGAACAAACTTGAATCTACACTACATGAGGATGCTTCCATATCAAATTGACTAATGATAGCTTTGCTGTTCTTGAGAAGAAGAGTGTTAAAACATTTCTTATGTATTCCTATGTTAAACTTTGATAACCCGTTGTGGCCCCACCCTCCCCCCAGGGGTCATGATTTGAACAAATCTGAATCTTCAATACCTGCGGATGCTTCCATATAAATTTGACCAGTCATAGCTTTGCTATTCTTGAGAAGAAGATTTTTAACTATATTTTCCTATATAATTCTATGTAAAACTTTGATCCTCCATTGTTGCCCCACCCTAATCCTGGGGATCATGATCCCCCATTGTAGCCCCACCCCACCCCCAGGGGTCATAATTTCAACAAACGTGAATCTACACTACCTAAGGATGCTTCCATTTCAAAATGACTAATGATGGCTTTACTGTTCTTGAGAAGAAGAGTTTTAAAACATTTCTGATGTATTCCTATGTTAAACTCTGATAACCCGTTGTGGCCCCACCCTACCCCCAGGGGTCATGATTTAAACAAACTTGAATCTACATTATCTGAGGATGCTTCCATATAAATATGACCAATCATGGCTCTGCTGTTCTAGAGAAGACGAGTTTTAAAGAACTTCTTATGTATTCCTATGTTAAACTTTGATTACCCGTTATGGCCCCACCCTATCCCGGGGGTCATGATTTGAACAAACCTGAATCTTCAATACCTGAGGATTCTTCCATATAAATATGCCCAGGCATAGCTTTGCTGTTCTTGAAAAGAAGATTTTTAACTATATTTTCCTAGATAATTCTATGTAAAACTGATCCTCCTTTTTTGCCCCACCCTAACCCTAGGGGTCATGATTTGAATCTTGAATCTATACATCTGGGGATGCTTCCAAATAATATGACCAATCATGGCTTTTCTGTTCTTGAGAAAAAGATTTTAACAATATTTTCCTATGTATTTCTATACTAAACTTTTATCGCCCATTGTGGCCCATTGTGGCTCTACCCTACTCTCAGGGGTCAGGATTTGAACAAACTTGAATCTATACAACCTAGGGATGTTTTCACATAAGTTTCTTCTTTCCTAGCCCAGTGGTTCTTGAGAATTCCTAATTATCTCCCCTTGAAAGAGGAGATGGTCCTCCATTTGAACAAAGTTGACTTCCCTTTACCCAAGGATGCTCTTTGGAAAGTTTGGTTGAAATAAGCCCAGTGGTTCTTGAGAAGAAGATGAAATTGTGAAAAGTTTACAACGACAACTACGACGACGACAACGACAACAACGACAGACAAGGGACAAATTTTTATCAGAAAATCTCACATTTGGCTCAGGTGAGCTAAAAATTAACTTATTAAAAATGTTTTTAATTTTTACGGTTCCAAGTTTGAAAACAATTTTGTCTCTACATAATACGAACAAATTTAACAGATACAGTATAATAAGAAATATAATCTACCTGAAAACTTGTCTTGTGTACCCTGCATATCTTATAGAACCTCCAGATATTGTTTTCTATTTTATACTTTTAAAATTTGTAAGAAATATACATTCCATATCCACGTATGACAGCAGATTTTCCAGAAGGATATCAATTGCATAAGTTGGAGTACAATGAACTGTCTCGAAAAAATATGATCAATGTTCACTCGCACATGTTGAGATCTCCATTACACAGCATTTGCCAACAAAAAATAGGACTTATTTTGCGAAAAAAAGACACTGTTACGTAACTGCAAGAAAGTTAGTTTAGGCACCTCTATCAGTATTCGTATCTGTTGGTAGACTAAATTCTTCTCATTTT